AGAATGTCGAGATGACGCACGGGTAAAGTGCAGCTGAACGAGAAGCAGCAGCACCTTAGAATCGCCGAAGATGTTCTCAAGCTTTTGTTTTCTTCCATGTGATCCATCTACGGTGATATTGATCAAATCATAGCATCTCCCCTCCAGCACACCGATCGCCACAACGGTTACGGTATGTTTTATTTTGCACTATTGAAAAAATGCAAATCAATGAACAGAAAGCGTAAACATTATCTGTGACCGCATTAAATTGTTCTGACAGCAGATTTGCTAATTCAGTTGTAGCTTGTAGGATTTTAATTCCTAAGTGATTCACACTTCAATTTAATTGCTCTTGTATTGAGCAATATCCCATGTGAATGCTCTACTTCAATTTCCTGTAGCACTTCTTCGTGTGCTTATTCTAGAACCTTTCATTACGTAACACTTATTGAAAGTTCCTAGAACTAAATAACTAATCAACTTCACAAGAAGGTTGCACTGAATTCCCAAATGATCACCATTACCATTGAACTTCTTACATAGGTATAATAAGAGTTGATTAACAACTTAGGCCATCTCAATGAAATCTTTCATCTCAAGTCGGTCAGCTCTGGATCACTTTTGGGCTTTTCTCATTGTTGTCATCTCTTCTAGTGTATGCACAATTCTATCAGCTATTTCTCAACTGACGACTTCGAGAGCTTTGAAAATCTCTGATTAGGACTTCTAAACTTTTCAATTGAACGCAAAAACATTTGCTCATTTTCCGCTGTCAGGTGGATTTCAAAGGTGTATGAAAGCCGCATGTGAACGAACTTTTGAAATCATATATATCCTCTATCCACACGAAGTGTGACTTCGGCTCAGGTTCCACGTCTACCATCTTCTGTCAGTCAAAATACCGCTTGCAGGGTTACTTGTTTATCTATTTAATGCTAATGACACATTTAAACGAATATCGAATGAGAGTGCAATAGAGATGACAAAACAAAATACAGGTGATAGAAAACAATGAACTGCTGATTGCCACTAGGCTTATCCTCAGTGTTATCATAAACAAGTTATGATTAGGCACGGAAGTCAGAGACGAAAACGGATGTTTCGAATTAGATAATAGAACAGATCCGATCCGTCCCTATAATGAATATCAGGGTCGGATAAAAGT